AATTTTTAAAAATATTAATTATTTATAAAAGTAAATCAAAAGAGAATTTATAGTAAATAAGCAGGCAAATTTGCCTGTGAAACCCTACAATCTAAGGGATAGTATCAATTGTAAATTATATTTGTATATAATAATAAGTCTAAGAGAAGTGTATTAGATATATTTTATTTTACAAATAAAATTTAATAGTAGAATAGCCTAAATTCAACTGTTATTAATTGTTTTATAAAATTTTGATTTAAATGAAAAAACAAATATAATGATAAGTATTAGATAACCTTACTTTGATAGCAACAGCTATAACCAAGTCTTCATTTATGAAAATAACTTATAAAAATAAAAATTAATTACTTATATTATACAATTGAGAATCTATTAAATTTTTGAATCTGTTTTATCTTTTATTAAAGTTTATACTATAATATGAGTTTAATTATAATTATCAAGTATCATAAATAAAGATAAAATCATATTATATTAATTTGTTTTATATGTATTATCAGTAATAACTATATTATAAAATCTTATCTAAAATTAAATTTGCTATGATAGAATCCATAGAATGCTTTCTAAATAAAAATTCTTTCTAATTATATACGTTTCAATTATTTAACCTAGATCTTCCTTTTAAAAGTTATACAATTCTTATAACATATTTTTTCATCATTTTTTTCTTTTATTTATTTATATTTTCTAATTTTTTAAATTATATTATATAATTTTTTCCAGTAAATGTATATATCTAAATATTTTTTTAATTAATAATTGTTATATACAGTAGTTCAAGTTCTTATAATTAAAATTGCAATAAGACATTCTAATATATCAGATTTCATTTTTTCTTAAAAACTTGTGAAATTGAATTTCATAAATCTTAGAATTTAACAGATGATTGTATTTTTTTAACTATCATAAAGATTTTGATAATTTTAGTTGATTTTGGATAGATTATATTTTTATACTATAAATAATCAATTTATCCAGAATTTTTTAATGGGTTTTTTTTTTAGCTTTTCTTGATTAATATTGAGTTGCTTTAATATATTTATAAGTATATTTATAAATAATATTATTATCATCATATTCAACTCTTTTTTTACAATATTCAAAAACCTTTTTACTTACAATATTGTAACAAATATTTCTTTACTTCTTTGAAAATTTCAAATATTTGTTTTTTTGAATAAATTATCATTTTCTTTACTTGTAAAATTATTAATATTAGATAAGTCATTCTTTATATAATTTATATTGATATTTTCATAATAAAAATTGTTTAAAGATTTGTTATTAAATTTCACAGAAGTTATAAGTAAAAATTCTTGAATATCTATTATGAAATAAGAAAAGTGGTAAAAATGAAAAATTATTTAAAAAAAATAGTTATTATAAACTATAATAAGAAATATAACATGAAAAAAAAATTTTTATTAGAGATTATTATTATAGTTTATTATAAGTAAGATTTAATTTACTGGTTACATTAGGTGAATCAAAATTTATTCAAAGTGAATTTTCATAATCACATAGTGATCAAAATATAATAATATGGGAATTAAAATTTTATATAGAAAAAAAAATTTAAATTAAAAATTTTATCAACAAATTTTTTTTAAATGGTAAACTAATAAATACATGACGCATCTGACCTACCTTAATCCTGCTTTGTCATTATAATGAAAGAAAAATTTGTCATAATAATCTTGTTCGTAATGTAATGATCAGATGACACGTTTTGAAAGGAAAAAGATCTAAAATTGGAAATCGTTATTACTTTTAAGTTCGTATTTAAAAAAATCACCTTTGAATGGATATAAATAGGGATCTTAAAAAAAACCAGACACCACCAAATCTTTTTTCTTTATCTATGAAGAGGTAAGCAAATTAATAAAAGTTATACACAGAATGTTATATAATATAATACATATATTTATATTTATTATATTTATTTATTAGATCACCTATTGAAACAATTGCCACTCTTATAATAACTGGTATCTTGTCTGCTTTATTCGTATACTGTGCCAAGAATGAAGAAGATGACACAATACCAACCAAAGAAGACAACAAAAATAAAAATCACTCTAGCCCCAATGATGATTCCGATTGGACTATAATTGGGGAAGAATTTTGATATCTTTAATATCGAAATAGCGTTTTATCATTTCGAGGTTAATAATATCTAAAAGTAACACATATATATTTAAGTTTAATAGATTTTAAGAAAGCCTGCTTAAACGTGGCAAATTTTGATATAATTTTTACCTTTCTTTTAAATGGTAATATTCTATATAAAATAAAATAAATTTTTTTTTTTAGATTAAAATATTCACGAATATGGTAAACTTTGACTGACGTAATATCGCGTAATCATGCAGAATTTGCCTTAAAACCCCGTTTTTGAGGTACCTTAATAAACCCAAAAATTGGGAATACCTTTTTTTGTGTATTTCTCCTTGAAAATATTTATATTATATACCGTATAAATATGAGTCAAGAATTAAGTATAAAAGATATCGCAAGAGAAATTTACGTGATATTATATTCAAAGAGAAAGAATGAACAACGGATTATGATTAGAACTTATTTCGACGCGAATGCTGGTGAGTTAATAGAATTGCATAATAGACTCCGAAATTTTCTTCAATATAATTTTTTTTCAGTTTTAGAGGAACCAATCATTTTTGTACAAGGCCACGAAGAAATAATCCGGCAATTTCTTCTCATGGCCACGATATTTATCTCCATTACCACAGAAATTTATTCAATAACTGATTCCGTGATAGCTGGAGATAACCATATAGTTAGTATTGATGCCATCATTAAATATCGACTTCCTTTGAAACCAATATTATTTCGTCAAGAGATTGAATTAAGGACAATTACGAAATTTGAATTTAATGAACAAAAAAAGATCGTTAGACATGAAGATATTTGGAGTATAAAAGATTTACTTGAAAATGTGCCATTTATGGGGTGGATTTATTCTTATTTTGGAAGGAAGTCGATTGGACTCATTACAAATCAACTTGTAGAATGGATGGGTACGAGAAGTTTGTGATTGAAATTTAATTTCCATCACTTTTATTAGATAATAATTTATCAAATATTTTGAGAGTCAAGAAATTCTTTTAATTTTTTTAATGCTTTATACCTATGAGATATTGCATTTTTTGTACTCTTTAGCATTTCAGCGTATGTTTGATCATTTCCATCAGGCTCATAAGGTTGAAAAATTGGATCCCATCCAAAATCTTTGGGTCCACGTGCCGTAACAATCTTGCCCTATATATTAATAAATCGTCATTGTAAAAAAAGTTTAACAAAAAAAAATAAAACTTATACATACATCAGTACGTCCTTCGAATAAAATTGGTTCAGAATCCGGACCTGAAGAATAAGCAAATGTGCATAAGGCATATGCAGATTTATCTTCAAATCCTGCCAATAATTTGTTTAGACCATCATGACCCAATTTATCCAAAAACCATTTTCTGTTTGAATAATAGTAAAAAATTCGAGTATAATAAACATTAAGCGAGTTATAACTTTGACATACATACATGTATGGACCAGGTAAACCTTTCAATGCATTGAAACAAAGACACGTATCTTCCGTGATTACAGGTCCATTCAACTATGTATGAGAAAGAAAATTTAATAATAAACAAGATATTTCTAAAAGTACAATTAATATTCAATACCGTAATTGAAGCTTTACGACACTTATCAACCGAAATTTCTTGCGTTGTTCCTTGAATTTCTGCTACTATTTAATAGAAGGTAAATTCGCATCAGATGAAAATTTTCAGATAACCCAATTTTGTACATACGGTCGAGTTTATGATTTATCAGGTTTACAGTCGAACCTAATATAGTTTGAACTTCTTTAAGTTTATTACTGTTACCAGTGACAAAAACTACAAAAAAACTCATTTAATTTATTAAATATATATGATAAAGCAATAGTAATTCTTGGTAAGTACCTAATTTATGAGGTTTTTTCGTGGCCATAACAGTTGTTAAAAAAATGGCAAGAAAAATAAGTATTATAATATGATTAAAATCCGCCGATCAGAATACGCCACCGTTATATAAGTTGTACAATTTTTTACAATTATAACTATATAATAATAAATATTTTTCGTCTATTTATCATTAACTTTTAATCCCAATTAACTTCGTTAGCAACAACATCATCTGTTACATGTTTCTTATGCCTTCATTATATTCATCATCTGTACTTTCTGGACGTATGAACTTAAAACACGTACAAAATGTTGAAACATTTTACCATTTCTTCATCATTTTTTGATATATTTTGTACTAGTGTACAAAACATTTTTTTCCCTATTTTCTTCCTCGCCTTTTGACGAGGCTTAAATTATTTAATTCATTAAACTAAAAAAAAAAAGTTAAATATTTCATTTGATTTCTAATTTTGGTTACAATTTAATTCATACCTCTTAATTCACATTTTTGTGATCAATGATAATACAGTAACACCTCCATAAGTACCTCCATAAGTGCGCCTAAGCTTGGGACTTAGCACCCTTGTTTTGCACGTGCAAGTCTTCATAATTGCATTCACATGACAATTTCATATTGTTGACAAATCATCGATAACTGTTTGGTCACAGTTTAGAATAAATTAGGACATGTTGCACAGTTAAATTTTGTAATAATTTAAATAAATTTGTATACTCAAAATGTTGACCAATGAATTCAAACTAAAATGCTTTTGCTTGCTGGCTGAGTTAGCCCAAGAAAAATTGATTATCCCAATTAGTATAGCTTTGTATATTTATGAGAAAATAGTGTGCATGACAATATGAGGCATACTGCAACAAAACCAGACAAAGTGAACATTGGTATTACCAAGGATTTCAGAAATCAAAATTTAGTAATGTGATTATTAAAATCTTCCATTTGTTGTTATATTTGTTTTTTCTTAATATATAGAATTACCTCTATATAAAAATAGTAAATATGAAGTTAATTTACATTAGATTTACCATGAAACCCAAGAATTATAGCACCATTAGAAGTATTTTGAAGAAGGAACAAAGTGAAAAAATTGCATCTTACATTTTCAAAATAAATGATACTCAGACATTGGAAGCTTATATAAGAAAAGAAAGGATTACTTATAAATTTATCAAGAAGAAAGAAAGTTAATAAATATTAAGAAAAGAAAGCAGAGTAAAAGTGTACTATTACCCAACAAAAAGCAAAAATCTTTAAAAGGAAAATAGCTACCATTTAATAGTTGGAATGAATTTCAATTTATATAGAGGGAAATTTTCTCAATTACTTTTTTATTTTCAATCAAGATCATCTTTTAGTCTCTTTGACTTCAATTTGAGCAGTTAATTTACCATTCTGTTGATCTTTTAATTTACTGTTTTCTTCTTCTAGATGATTGATTTTTTCTTCTAAACTCCTTATCTTATCTTATCCAACAACTCTTGCTTTTGCCTTTTACTTCATTCCTTAGATTTCTCTTGAAATTTGGTTAATTCTTCCCTTTCAATTTCTAAGGCTTCTTCAGTCTCATTTAGTTGTTCTTGTAGGGAGTTTATTTGTCTTTCATAAAAAGTAGACTGACTTATTTCTTCATGAGGTAAGAGAGGAAGTTCCTTCTTTTCTAAATCTTCATTGTTTCTAATATAGTAACAAACATTCTTATCATTAACAATATCAAAATCTAACTTAGTTTGCAATCTACCACATCTATTGCATTTTGACAATTCATCATCCCAATACTTTCTTCACATCTTTCCCAAACTATGTCATCTGAATTTCATTTGGTGAACAGATTTATTATTTTTGTTTTCAAATTTAGAGCAAAAATCACAAGTTTTTTTACTTTTTTTTTCCAATTCTAAAACTGTGTATTCCAGTTCTCTCATTATAATTTACTCTTTATTTAGACTTGAATTCTACTTGAACAATCATTTCTTAGTTGTGAAATTTTTTCTTTTTGATTAATCTTTATAATTTTTGAAACTTAACTTTTGCTTTTGTTTTTAATTGCTTAAAAATATTCTGTTTAATTGATAACTTATTCTCTTCTACAGGTAAAGTAGGTAAAGGTTTAATATCTAAGTAAAATGAATTCTTTAGATTTTCATTTTGTGTTTTACTATCAGTTAATTGCTTACTTAATTTTTCTATTTTTTTGCTCTTTTGACTTGATTCTTTCTCCAACTTTTCAACCCAAGCTTCTAGATAAGAAATCTTTGCACTAGCACTTTTGAGTTTCTTGTTTTTCTCTTTTATGTCTTCTGCCTGATTTTTGCTTCATTTTTCACTAACTGCTATAACTTCCTTAACTTGTTCCTGTTCTATCTTTACTCTTTCTTCTAATTCTTCTACCTTTGCTTCTAAATCTTTAATTTGTTTAATCTTGCTTCCTATAATATCTTTAAAAATTATATCCTTAGCAGGCTTGTCTCAAATATTACCTCCTTTTTCTATTCGAAAAAAATATGAGTTCTTTGATTTCATAGTTTTCAATTTTTTTCAATTTAGTGGCTAACTCAGTGTCTTCAAAGTAATCTATAATAATTCTCTCAACTATTTTTTATAGATTTTCTTTACCTTCCCATTTATAGTCATACATAAGACTATGTTAAAAACAAATATTCATAAATTGATTTCTTAATAGTTTGCTAATCAATTTCCTTAAATCTTATTCAATATTCTTACTACAATGAGGAAATCTATTTTTCATATCTACCAATATTTGATGAAATTGGTTGATTGCTTCTTGTTAAATTCAGCTTCTTCTTGTTTACTTACTTATAGATTTTTTAATTTAGTAATTTTTTGTTCTTTATTGGATAATTGCTTTTCAATGTTTCAATTTCATTGATTAGTTCTTTATTTGCTTGTTGTTGTTCTTTTAGGATGTTTGTTATAATTTTCTTGATTATTCCTTTTTTATTTATTCTTTTAATATACTTATATCCTTAGGGTATGTTAAGTATATAATTATTTTAGCACTTTTTACTTTAAATGTGAAAAAAAACTAATAATATTTGTTAAAAGATTAAACTTATTAAACTTAATGATAGTAAAAAGTCATAGAGATGATTTTATTCTAAATATTTTATTCATTGCTAGCATAGATTGGTCTTGGACAAGTAATATCTTTGTCATCTTTCACAAATAGACGAATATGATTATAAAGGTATTCTTATCTTTTGTAATCCAAAGGAGAAGGTGTTAACACTAAAATATATAAAGCTCTGATTTCTTCAAAAATATATGCTTTCTTGGTTTCAATAAATTGAATTCAGTAAAAGGTCCATTAACAACTTCTTGAACTTTTACTGTATCAAGATTAGATGAGATGCTTCAAAAAGAAAATGTTGATATTTGATAACTTCTTAAAATAAATTTCCAAAATAGCTTTAATATCTAAGTATTGAAAACCTCTTTCACCTTCATAATATTGAGTTTTATTTAATCTAGCTAGACCAGACTTTTTTACCACCTCAATCACATGATCTAGATAATCTACTCTTATTTTTTTGTAGAGTTTTTTAATCAGGCCAAAACTACCATCATATTTAAATTTGGTATGTTCAGGAATCATGAAATTTAATTCAATACTTTCATAATAACCACAAATTACTAAATATAAATAGAACCATATTGTTACATTATTTTTATTCTGTCGATCAGCATTATCATAAGTAATCTTTAAATGCTTTTTACCTTTATTCAATTTTTTAATTCCATCAAAAATCATACTAAGTGTGCCATTTGGTCCTTTTCCTACAATTTCATTTTCATTAAAAACATAATTAATTTGCTCCCTTACTGCTTTATCTTGAATACCAAATAAATGAACTTTACATGAACTAAGATAATAAATTTTACTTACTTGTTGATCTAAATATGACACATGAATATTTTAGGCTCAATCATAATTATAATGAGCAGTGATATCAATACTGCAATATAATGTTTTACCTTTAGAATAATATTAATCAACTAGTTTTCTTTGTTCTTCTGCTAACTTGATATTTTTATTATAATAATTTCTTTCTACTTTGGCTTTAGATTAGAGCTCCGAATCAGGTCAGGTCAACCTATGACCTGACTTGACCTGACCTGAAAAATCCAAGTCAGATAGACAAATTTTCAAGTCAACATCAGTCAGGTCAAGCTTATGATCCGACCTGATAAAATTCAGGTCAACCAATCAAATTAAATGAAATAAAATATTTAAAAAATTTTTTTTGTCTATTTTTTTTTTAAAACATCTTTAATTTTATTTAATATACTTTCTTTTTATATTTTAATAAAGTTG